TTTTATGACAGGAATGGCTGAAATAACAGGGGCTTGCTGGTCAGAATTAGCCAAGCACTGGTATAAATGAGGAACCCATAGTTGGGACGCTCACGACCAGGGGAGATCTCAGTAGAGAGCTTGCAAATTAGATCTGTTGTCACTTGTTTGCCAAATTTGACTTTAGGCCTCTAACTAACTTGTGTTTTTCTCTTCCTTCTCTGTGGTTGTCACCCTGGGAAGCGGTGCCTGCCCACGCTGTGGTTCAAAACGCCTCTCGCCTTGGGGGCCCTGCAACCCGCAGGGTAAGGAGCCGCTCTGGGAGGGTTTCAGCGAGGAGCAGGCAGGAACAGGCACTGCTGGTTAAAAGCACAGGCCTATGATTTTGGGTCTGGACTCTGCTTGTAGCGTTATCATAAGCTCCCAGTGTCCGCTGTCTGGTCTCCATAGCCCTGTGTTTCCTCAGCAAATGCTCCCTTATTCCCTTCACAGTTCTTGGAGAGTTGGAGAGAACAAATTGGAGAAAAATACTGTTATTCATAATTATTATTAATAAACAGACTAATCTAGTGAGGTTTTTTCCCCCCGCTTTTTGGGATTCTGTAGAGGAAAACAAGTTTTATTGCTGGGAGGAGATAGTATAACGTCTCTGTCATCAGGCATTTCAGAGATGCCAAATAGTGCCTTTGACTGAGGGCTGAGCTTTTGGAAACAGCCAGATGTTCTCCTTAACTCTCGGCAGATCCTTTCTCCTGGGTCTCCAAGGGCTGGCCTAGTGGGGGCAGCTGTGCAGAGCAGCAAGGGCTATAATGGGCAGTGCTCAGTTCCTCAACTGCTTTCACGTTTCAGAAAGGTCCTTTCTGAACAGGACCCTAACCTGGACAGCATGTCTGGTATGTTGACAGTTATCTAGGACCAGATTGTTGGCCATCGACACCTATCATATTACAGTGACTAATTGTATTCCCTAATAGCTGGCTAATCCAGTTCTGCTTGATCACCACTCACAGACAATTTCCAGTTTGAAACTCAATAAATCCGTCATCTGGCATGTATTTTTTTTCCTTTACTTAAGGCCCATTCCAGAGACTTAGGCTCTTTAGGAGTCTGCAATAAGCATATTTAAGCATATTTAGTATCAGCCTTTCTATATAAGCAAAAGGGTCGTGTGTCACTGCTGGAGGTATGGGGATTAGCAGTCCTAGTTGGTGCTCAGGATCCTTTGCTGATGTCTCACTTAGCCCCTGCAGAGTGTGGCGGATAGCTGTAGTTCAGCTAGCATTTCCATAATACAGCAGCAATGATGTGAGAACTTCCTTAGTTCCTGGGTGAACCAAGGTTCAGTGCAAATGCAATCTTAGCTAAGGCATAAGCATATTCAAGAAGAATTTCCCCTTACCTTTACAAATTCTCCAGTTAGCGGGGCCTTTACAATGATTCAGCTCCTTGGGTCAACATATTCTGGTAGGAGTCATCAGCCAAATGTCACCAGTTTCCACATGACTTTTCTCAGTGGTCTTTCTGGGATGTGGTGTCGATCAAAAAAACTGAATTCTTTGTTGTTGTTGTTGTTGTTTGAGCAGATGTCCTATTTCCAGATCAAAGGAGGTAAATGGCTACAGGAAGGGAATCATAAAAGATTTCCTTCTCTGAGGGAAAGGAAATATGATTTTTTAGAAATCTGAGTATAATTTACCTTTCAGTCTAATCCATACATTAAATGATATAAACTCAGAATTTACTACATGGCCCATTTGTTGTATATCATTTCATAAATCCTTTGTAATGTAGGTGACTTAAGTATAGCGTGGGTGGAGAGGAGCATGTGTTAATGCTGTTGACTTGACTTATTGATAATCAGTGAATTACAACACTTTCTAGTGTTTAAATACATGCGCAGCAAATCCAGCCATGGGAATTGGTTTAGGATATTAACTCTGCCTTTATGAGATGCCTAAGGCCATGACAGAGGGGGTGCAACACTGAAAGCAACTGTAGCCTTTCCAGGCTACATATCTGGACATCCAGACCCACAGATGCTCACAGAAAAATGAGGTGCTGAAAACAAGCAGTGTCGTGCAGTTACCACGCTGAAGGTGGTGTGAATTGATTCAGTGTGATCAATGACTCAGTGCCAGACTCAACCCTCCCAAACACCTCAGTCGTGGGGTTGATTCAGACACCTTGTGGGCTAGTTGTCACATATGAACAGCCTTCCTCTTGCTAGATTCATGTTCACGCTGAATACTGAGTAGGAATGGCAGAGTTAGAGGAGCTGGCTTGGTGCAGAGCTCAGAGAGAGATGAAAGTCCTCAGCAGCTGGGCCGCAAACACCCTGAGCTCTGTTCCGCAGCCTCACATTTGGAATCAGTCTTCACTGAGACTAGTTCCCATCACACCAGGCAACCATAACTAAACTTCATCCAACATACAGAGGGGTTGCACTGATTTCTATAGCTAGACTTATGTTCTGGCTGAAAACAGTTGTGTCTCCTGCTTGATCTGCAGGAGGCCATTTGGCAGTCTTGTATGCACCATGGGTTACTTTCTAAAAATTGATTTACCATCAGTATACTGGCAATCAGATTATTTGCTGGAACACAACCATGAAATAATCCTACGCCATCAATGTCGCATTAGCTTTTCCTAACAGCTGGTCTTTAAAGATTGCTCCCAGAAGGTCAGAAAAGTCATCAAAAGCTCCAATCAGCTGTGACTGGCCTGGGGGACACAGTGACACAGATGCTTTTTGAATAGGATGAAGGACTGAGCAAGGAGAAAACATTTTTTTTTCCGGGCCCCTCTCCTGTTTTGTTGTCACCTCACTGCCATCTGGTTGCGCTTTCCCTTTCCGCTAGAGACCACCAGCATTAAGAGCTGGGTTTTCAACTATGTCAACATGTTCTCTTTGCCCTCAGTGGTAGCTTGCCATCACAGCACCTTCCTCAGGGGGCAGAAAGCTCTTCAATCAAAAGTTTCTCATTTTTTATTTTGGAACAGCTACATGGCACATCATCCATTCCTTCTTCAGATCAAGCACTTTTTTTTTCTATGGCCTTTGCCTTTGTCATCCTTTCACCAATGCCTGGAGCAGAGCATCATCATCCTGCTTTGTGATGGAGGAATCCCTGCCCCTGTGATCTCCTTCATCCCTGTTTCCTGATTCTCATTCTGAAAATGTTATTAAACCTGCTGAAAATGCATTTAAAGAAGCCTTTACTAAGACACTTGCTGCAGTATGATATGAATCATTTTGCTTTGCTCTTAAAGTTCCTGGCATTTCACAAATCTTTTGCACATTCCTTTGTAGACCCTTTCATCAGATGTCTTTTGGAGGAGGAAGGAGCAAAGGAAGGAAAACTAGCAAAGCTTACTACAAAGCTTTCAAGAAAAGAGGGGCTTGTGCTGACTGCACAAACTGGGACTTCAGAGGAAAGGAAGCAGCCTCACGCAGAGGAAGAAAATGAGGCATTTCATATGGGGAACTCCATCTGGCTCTTGTCCTCTGTAAAGAAGGAGTTGTTTGTGATCAAAGCTCTGTTCAGTTGAGGGAAGTTGTGGCACAAGTTACTACATGGCAGTCAGCTTCTATGTAGGATGTTGTCACAGGATCTCTTAACTCTATTATGGTGCAGCATCCCTGCTGCCCCAAGGCATTCCCTTGCCCTTGTAGGAAGCTGCCCTTGCCTCTGACACTGCCAGCCATCGTTCTGCCTCGTGCTGATTTCACGTGCCCCTAGACTCTAGCTGTCTCTCTCCATTTCAATCAGCTCCCTTGAAATTCAGGTCCTAACAGGGACTTTCGTGCTTTTGTGGGCCCCTTTTCTCACCCCCTGAACTGCAGCCCTGTTAAGTCCCAATAAAGAGTTATCATGGGTTTGGGCATCCTGGGCCAGACTTGCCAAGCCTGGGCAATGCTGTTGAACACAGGACTCGTAAGACAAAAGAAAAGCCTTCTCATTCCTAGCGTGTCCTCTGACACTTTCAGATTGGTGGAGTTGGTGAGGGAACCATTAGGACTTTCAGACAATAATCATACATGTGTGATAATGAAAGCCAAGAGTGCTGATCTTGAAGCTGGGGTAAAAGTAACTAATGGGAAGATTTGGTTTGGGAAAGCTTTGTAGAGCTAATAAGACTTGGGCATCCTGCCTTTTGCTCTAGGCTGGATCTTTTAAGTCTTAAAGGCTGTGTTCAATGTGGGTCTGAAGAAATCTGACCCATCTTATCTGTTAATGGATGTTTGGAAGAGGTTCAGCTGGTAAGTAATTGATAAAGTCAGAAAAAAAATGAATATATAGTATGCATCTGCTTTTAAAGAGTCATAAGAGTATGAATATTGGATCAGATGGGAACTGACTGGGCTATTTTCCCATTTCTGACAGCGGCCAGATGCAGGTATACATGTTGCTTCCCTCCAGCACTCTCTCCACCTCCGACCATTTTCAACTCATATTCAGCCAGAGGTGTTTTTTGTGTATGTTTAGTCATTCTCAAGAGCTTTATCTTCTATGAACTTGTTCATAGAAGACTCCACAATTTTTCAACATCCTGTGGCAAGAAACTACCCAGCATTAGCTACAGATGGTGTGAGGAACCATCTCTTTTCTGTGTTTTGAACCCAGCTACTGCCAGCTTCACTTAAGGCCTCTACTTCTTTTATCAGAAGAAATCTATTTATTAGAGGAAGCAACCAATTCCTGTCCATCCTCTTCAATGACACTTTGAATTAACACCACATTATTATCTGTTTATTACATGTGGTACATAGATATATGTGCCATATATAAGGATAAGACTAAATAATAGATGCGGTGCTGCATCCAGTCCAAGAAGAGGAAGCAAGCAAAGTGCAGGGGGAAAGCGCATTACAAAAGAGCAATGTGAGCTACAAAAGAGCAATGTGAGCAAAGTATTGTTATGTCTGGCCTTTTACTAAAATTAACTTTTTCTGTTCTAGGCAGCCCAGCTGGAAAACGTGGTGGTGACTTCTGGTCTCAAGGAGAAGTAGAAACAGCAGGATGGAGGAGCCAGTGTCTGGTGACGTGAGCACAGCCCTTCCCTCCTTCCCATCCCAGGCCAGCCTTGCTGAAGATTCGCGCTGCATACAACGCGTCATCGCTGAGGATCCTGAGTGGTCCCTTGCCATTGTCCCGCAGCTCACTGAGCTCTGCCTCCAGCACATCATTCACAATTTTGAAAGTAAGCAGGAGTGCCTCTCCGCTCGGACATACAGGGAGACAGCTCTGTCTTGGGGACCAGAAGGTCAGCAGAGCAGGCAGGTGCATCTGAAAGACATAGAGGGTGGTACCCAGCTCTGACAGAAACAGATGGAGAAAAACATCTCCTCTATCAGCTAGTTAAACCAACTGTTTAGTTGCTAAGCATGTACTTGCACACTCCAGAGATGTTTTAGTCCTCTGGGCTGTTATCCAGAATGTGACTTTGTCCTAACCTTGTCCTACCATTTCTTCCTCCTTCTATGGTCTGCTGGACTCACTATGTCAGCTGTGACCAGCACTGTGAAGTTGCTTTCCTTATCTTGGTTCATGCATCCATTATGGTAGCACTCAAGGATGGAGCCCCCCATTGTGCTGAGTGAGACATAGCACTAACATATACTCCCTGCTCTAAGAAACCACCATCTCAAAATTCATATTGTACTCACAGTTTCAGGCCTTTTCCATAGCTTTTGCTGGTGATATGACAAGTCATGTCTGCAGGCAGGGAAGGTACTTTTGAGGAAGGTGGACTGATGAAACACAGCAAAACATAGAAACAGCATCTCATCTGGGAAGTAAATGAGAGTGGGAAAGACAAACTCTTCTTGTGTATTTGGCTGACTTGGTGGAGTTGTAGAAAAGGCTGAAGATAGGGTATGTCCACACTGAAACTGTAACACATTATGGAGAAACTCAGTGCTGCTTTAGAGACCAGGAAGTAGTGCTTGAGGATCCTACCTGGGAGACTTTCCAAGGTCTGTCAGTTTGATCAGTCTGCCTGAGGCCAGATGGATTGGACCATAGTGTATGAACATAAGTGTGCTCAATTTCTTGGTGTCCTTCATAGTAGAATCTGACCTGTGCAGTCCACTGCTGTTGCCTGAGTGAGGCAGACTGAAGCTAGTTCAGTTATGCCAATGTATGTCCCATTTCTGCCTACACTGTGAGTCTTTAAAGAAAAGATCACTACAGTAACAGCTGTAGGACACTGGAAAACAGACTCCTGGAAGAAGCTGTGGTATAACTCTGGGTGTTCTTAGGAAGGACATGCTCCAGAGAGAAAGATATACATATATAAGAGCCACTTTTTCTCTGATTTCCCGTGCTCTGTGATTCAACACATATATATATTTTTCACCAAGTATTCACATTGCATATACACACAGCTTTTCTCTGGCATCTCTTGGAGAACATCCACCAAAGGTAAGTCAGCTAACACTCAGGGCAAGGCTTCAGGGAAGGTACTGAGGAGAGAAAGCACCTTTATTTAAGTGGGGTGGATGCGAAGGCTAAGAAAAATTGTGTCTTAGTGAGAAGGAATCAAGAATCATTTGGGGGTTAGACAGACGTCTGAGTTAAGATGAAAAGACAAGAAGACTTGTATGAAAAGTGCACAGACAGTTCACTTCTCAAATATCATCTCTTAATATGGTTAGAATCAAAAGAAAAGTTCAGCGAATGACAAGACAAATTCTACCATCACTGTAAGCCTAGAATAGCTGTGTTAGGGGCATCTGTCTTCCTCTGAATATAAACAGAATTAAAACCAAATTTGTTCAAAACTACATGCAAATTCCCAGCTGTATTGACTTGTAGGTCAATAACCTTAATTGGGACCGTATTTGTGGTACCCAGCTTCGGTAGTTACAGAGATGGGAGTTATGTTTCTGATGCAGTTTTCAAATATTATGAGAGTAAATTCAATTATGCATATATTGTATAGTGAAAGATAGAAATCCTACACAAAAATGAGTCATTTTCTGCCAGCTTAGTTCCATGCATCAGCTAATGGCAATTCAGAAGGGAGCCAGTATCAATAGAGGGAAGGGCATGGACACACAGCTGAGGGTCTGGACAGAACCCTGGCCTACAGGGGCCATGGGTCTCCAGCCCAGAGCAATCTCTTCTCCTCTCCATCCCCTCCAGAAAACCCTGTTATAGACCGTCTTCTGCCTGAGCACCAAAGGAAGGTGCTGGACAAGCTCTCCACTGGCCTTCCACTCACTGTGACTGCCAACCTAATACACGATGAGGACTACTGGAAGAGGTGCTGCACTCAGCGCTGGAAAGTATGCGTCGTCTCCAACTATGGAAACAGCTGGAAGCGGATGTTCTTTGAACGTCATCTGGAGAATATCCTAAAATGTTTCATCCCTAATGTCACAGACCCCAATCAGGTCCTAGAGCTCATACCGCTCTGCAGAGAGTATGTGTGGAGACTGGAGATTGATCAGTTCCTGCCACCAGTGATGCTGGATCAAAAGGAGGAGGAAGAGGATTTTGATGATTCAGGGAGTGATTTTGAGCTCAATGAAGTCTCCGTGCATCACTATGACTTGGGACCCCTCATTACTGCTCTCCCTCATCTTGAAGAGCTTAATCTTACTTACGGTGTGAAGGACTGTGGTATGAACTTTGAGTGGAACCTCTTTAACTTCACCTACCAGGACTGTTCCAACCTGGCTGTCGCCTTGAAGAAGTGCCGCAACTTGAAAGTAATGTATCCCAAACTGAACCTTTATTCCTCATTTAGATCTTCAAATTGCCTGGGGGAATAAACCTAGGGACCACTTTTCATTGCTAGACATTGCTTCTAGTTTTGCCAGCCCAGTGGGCCATTTGTAAGCATCTGGCTCAAATTCTCTGCCTCTCTGGGGCAAGTCTGTGTTGGCCAACAGAGAGCAGGGACATCCAGGTGGTAACCTTCTGTACTGCTCCAGTCAGGTCTATAGCTGCTGCAATCCCTAGAGCTGCACCAGCCTTAACTGAGCTGAGTGAAATGTCAGGGCATAAAGATTCATTCCCCTTTAGTTATGCTGTCTTGTAGCAGGGCAGCCCCTTTCCCTTTGATAGTTCCAGTGTGCCAGAGTGAAGCTGACTTGCTGGCCTAGTGCTAAGTATCTTGTCTGGTGTGTTTTTGTTAGAACAGGTTGTCTGAGGGTCAGTAAGCAAAACATTTGCTCCTTCAAAAACTCACTCCCTGTAGCCAGAGAGAAAACAGCTGCTTTAACTTCCAACACAGTTCTGGGAGGAAGAAAAAGAAAATTCCAGAGATTGCTTTTCATTAGGACAGTTTCTGGTGGCTTATGCTCGGTCAGTACATATTAGAATACCCCAGAGCAGTCAAGACCCCAAGGAAGAACATGGGAGAAAAATGCACATGGGGGCACCAATATAATCTTAAGTTCTGTGACGATTACAACACAGAAATTCAGACCCACCAAATGTCCATGGACATTGCTGTCCAGAGAGCCCAGAGAGATTTGTCTGCGGGCTTCTCCCCACAGATTGGCAGACTTTGGGCAATATCCTTCCACTTCGCTTCGAAAAGAGAATTTTTCATGTAACTATTGAGGTGCCCTGGCCATCTAGGGCGTTGCGCTTAACAAAGAGCACTGCAGGTTATTGCCAGTGGACATGAAGGTGGCCCATGCTAGACTGGACAGCAAGTATTTGATTGTGGTGTGCGGCAAGTTCTGCTATTAGAATGAGTTCTGCAGTTGCTCTCTGCAGAAGTTTGGGCAGCTTTATCTCATTTAATTTAGCTCTCTGTGTCCAAGATCTGGACAGAAGACAGGTGCAGGCGTTTCCAGATTAACCATTTCACCCTAGAATAGGGATGAGGTGTCAGTGGCATGACCTGCCTTCTGGAAGAGCCCGCCCTAGCAGCTATTTTATTTAGCCTACATGACAAGGTGTCTGAAGCAAAGCAAGATGAATTCTGCCTCTGGTGAGCAGCTACCATGGGCTTAACTCACTTGAGGTCTTCTGAGAAGTTCATTCCAAAGCACAGGTCATTTTAATATCCCTGTCTTTTATCCCAACAGCTTTTCAAGCTGACACGCAGTAAAGTGGATGATGACAGGGCCAGGCTGCTCATCCGGAACTTGCTGGATCACCCCTCTTTGATGGAGCTGAACTTGTCCCACAATCTCATCGGGGACAAGGGGGCACGTGCTGTTGGCAAGTTGATCAACCACAGCAAATTAGAAATCCTTGATCTGTGTAACAACCAGATCCGTCACCCGGGGGCTCAGGCTATAGCTCAAGCCCTGGCCAATAACTCCACCCTGACCTCCCTGAATCTACGTCTCAACTGCGTGGAGGATGAAGGCGGGCAGGCAATTGGCCGTGCCCTGCTGACCAACACCACTCTGAAGTCTATCCATCTAGGAAGCAATGAGCTGTCAGAGCCAACCGCTACGCTTTTCTGCCAAGTCCTTGCTCAGAACAGCACACTGACCAGCATCAATTTCTCATGCAACCACATAGGGCTGGTAAGAGAAATCTTTTCATTTCGCAGCTTGTGTGTCTGAGAGGTTGTGTTGCAAAGCAGTCCACTCTGTCTCAAAGCCACAGAGCCATGGGCATCCTTTACTTTTCCCTCCTGCTGTGATAACAACAGTTACAAGTAATGAAGAGACTATAGCAGCAGATGTCAGGAAGCAGAGGAACACTTTTTTTTTCTGTATGCACTCACACAGATATATCTCAGCTATTACGTCTAGCTCTTTTCACAGAGCTCTCAGGAGGAGTCTGGTGTCCAAGCTTTGAGCTTCTGGGCAGACAAATTTCCCCATGGGAAACAGAAATCTAGGAAATTGGGAAAATCAGAGCCACTTTACACACATGGAGAGTAGAAAATAGCATTGTATGCTATATAAGTGGCATGATATTAGGGCCTGAGATCTGCTGTGCCACCTGTCACTCAGGTAGTTTCATCCTTTCCAGAAACTCCCCTGGCCATCAAACTCTCAGAGCAGATGATTAGAAAATTGTATGGGTTATTGAGCTGCTGTAACTCACCCTACAGTTCTGGGCTGGTTCAAAAACTACACATCTGGATGTTTACATGTGGCTCCTAAACCATGGGCTCACATTTTCAGATGGAGGAGCATCCGCAGATCCTGCTACATCCTTAAGAGTTACTGCATGCACCATCTGCACAAAACAAACCACTTTTCTTCAGCTGATTAAAAAGATCTTTAGAAATCTGAAACTAGACAGCCAAATACAATTATGTTAGATTTCAAACTTTCTGTGCTGCCTCAATTTTCTGTCACAATAAAGCGGTAGCAAGACCAGCTGTCCCTGCTGGCAGGAATATTGGCTCAATGTATTTGCCAAAGGTTTTAAAAAGATTTGATGTCAGAAAACCTTCTGTGAGTTTTGATTTTTATGATCCTGGATACAGAAAAACATTTGAGCGTAATGATACAAGGGGGAAAGCCTGGAAAGGAGACAGAAGGATTTTTGCTTAGAAAATAATAATCTCTGTGCTTAGTACCTTCCATAAGATGAGCTCTCCTAGTACCCAGTTGTGAAGCTCCACAGCATCCCAACAAGTGGACTGGTATTATCATCTTTGTTTTATATACAGAGTGATCCTGAACATGGCCATACAGCTCAGGGGCTGAGATTCCTGGGTTCCAAATTGCTAGAGTTATGCCAAATTCTGGCCACTGTACTCTCTTAAAAGTATCATGTCCTTTTTAGCAAAGGTTTAGCAAGTGGGGTGCTGGGGAGAGTGGACTGTCTGAATGTAAGAGGTTGGAACAGGAAATGTATCCAGGATCTAAAAGAGAATAGCTGTAGGAAAAAGGAGAAGTCATATGGTCATATCTCTAAAGATAATTTTTCAGGTGAGGGAAGGAAATGCACCGACTGTTCGTAAAGTTGATGTCTATGTACCATTTTCCATTGGAGTTTGAACTTACTATGCAGACTAGGCTTTACCTGATGGACAGTGTCCCCAGCAAAAGCTGATTCTCCCAGGGAGATGGCATCTGTGCAGGAGAGCATGAGCACAGGAACCACATCCTCATCTCCACAGACCTCATCTTCCATGGAGATGAGGAAAAGTGCACACATCATGCTGCCATTTTCCCAAGCCAGCTGTGTGGTGAGGACTGGGGCGGAGAGCCTCTTAGAACTCCTTTCATGTTATTATCCCTGTCTGTGTTATGAACCGACCTGAGCTTGAGGACTGCTGACATGATACCCAGAGGGAAACGTTAGCACCTGTCATATCATGGTGTGCTGCATAAGGTTACACTGCTCTGCACTTCTCCTGTAAGCAATGTTTCAGGCTTGGGTGGAGGTCTTAGTCACTTTTAGCACTCTCTGATGGGCTCCTTTCTCTGCAGCTTTAATACCAACAGCAGGGAAGTGCAGAGGAAGCTGCTCTGGGGTTGAGAACCAGGCAACACTAAAATTCACTCTCTTACTTTCTCCTCTTTTCTCTCACCAATTGCAGGATGGTGGCAAGCAGCTGCTTGAAGGGCTCATGGATAACAAGATCTTGACTGAATTTGATCTCCGCCTGGCTGAGGTGGGCCAGGAGAGTGAGTATCTCATCAACCAAATTTTGTGGGCCAACCAGGAGAGAGCCCGGCTGAAATCTCTGCAGTATCCATCAGTCAAACCCTTCTGAAGAAAAATCTCCAGGAATCAATGGACTTTTCAGGTACTGGTAGTCCACTGTGTAAGATCTGTCATGAAATACCTATTCTATCTGAGTGCTGTGGCAAATGTGCCTCCCTGCTGCACGTGAGCAGGAGGGAAGCATAGGAGGCACTTAATGCCTATAATCCAGACCAGCCACAGACCACAGAGAAGGGCCTCTACAGTTTCTTCAGACATTTCCCCCTCTCCCCACCCATTTCCCACATTCTGCTCTTCCACAGATTTCAATTATCTCATGTTACCTTTGTGCCAGAAATTACAGCTCTCTGGAGCTGCAAGAAAGGGTGGTCTGTCAGAAAAATGTCATACAACCACTGGTGGTGGCGGTGGCTCTAACTGGCCATGGTTTGTTTGCAGGAAGGTATTCAGCCTCTGAAATGTCACCAACACAGTGACTGGCAACAGGAGCAAAGACATTCACCCGCTCAGTCTTCTGTGTTTCTAGACCACATGCTTTGTCCAAGGCTTTGATGTAGGATGGGATTTTTCATCCTTAATTTACTCCTAAACAGCATCCATTTGATAGCAGAGCAAATGCTACATTAATATCAGTCTCTGTGTGTGAAGAGTAATGTTTTAATGCCTTTTGGGAAGGCAGCCTTTACTTGTCTTTTTGTGTGTGTGTGTTTTTGAGAAGCACTCAACTTGTGACAGCTACTACAGCCTTTCTTTGCCAGATCCCTATCATCCTAGCCCGTGGCTCTATATGAGAAAAGCATTAGATCTAATGGGACTGTAGTGGCTTCACAGAAGTAATTTGCCTCCTAAGTTCTCTCTCCCACTGTGTTCAACATTAAATCCCCTCTCCTGTGGTTCGTTATATACTCCTGTAGGAATCGAAGGGTAGGATTATGAAAGGGAATGAGTTTGAGCAACTGGATGTTGTCACACCTGTAAAACACCTAAGATGAATAGCACTCCTAAATGGTCAAGTTCAGATTTAATCCTCAAGGCAGGCAGCTATTTCAGGCCTTTTCCTGGAGGAGCAAGTAAGGGTAGAAGGATGTTCGTAGTTGCTCATAAGCTTTTTCTTGTAATTCATCCAGCTGAGGTTTTAGCTCTGTTCTTATAGCAAAGCCTGTCTAGCTTGTGATACGAGTAGTGAAATGTAAAGAAGGCCATTCAATAAATGACATCTCTTCAACATCCTTTCTTACTTTGTGCTGTCAGGCCTTTGAGCACTTCCAGTCCTGTTTTGCAAACAGGTGAATTCCTTAAAACCGGATGCTCAGGAAGACTCTTTCCATCCAAGCCTGTCAAAAAACATCTGTGTTTCGCAGATCTTTGAATGGAAGGGATCCCTCCTGGGAACCTGCAGGACTGCTGGATCACAGATCTCGCAGAAAGCAGCAAAGCCTGGATGCCTTGCTGTAAATGGAGCCACTTCCTTGGGATTGGAGGGAGGCAGATATAAGAAGAAGCCCAGGCTGTCACTTACCCTTCCCTTCCAGTCACCCAAGGAGGCTAGGAAAGGCCACCTACCTGATTGCCTTGGTCCTTTGATCACCCCAATCAGAAGAGGCTGGCAGGAAATTAAGGAAACTGGCTGACCCTTCTAGGCCTCCAATCACTCCCTGCCCTCTGAGCAATGCAGGGGCTTCAAGGGTCTCCCGACTCTGGCCTGCACCAGTGCTCACAGACCCAGTGCTGAGAGCCACGTCAGTGAATCATCTGAAACTTTTATTACACCGATTTGGTTTACAATCTTTGTACTTTGATATTTCCAACAAAAAAGGCAACATTGTGATATACCGTTTGTACATATATAGAGAGACAGACAGAGCTAGATCATATTGACATAGTTGAAAAGTAAAAACTGTTCCCAGTGCTCACAAAAGAATTTGTTAGCCATGTACCCGCTTGTGCCTTGCTCTGCCTGATGTATACAGACATCTGTGGCTCTGCCGCCTGCAGACCCCGGGCCAACAGGGCCTCTACCTGCTTGATGCCATGGCCTTATAGATCAGAGAAGATAGAGTGCAAGGCTATCACCAGCAGCAGTGGCCACACCAGGGGTGGCGACACAGATCACCCCAACACTCTTGCAGATCAGTATTAGCTCCCTTCCAAATTATTCATGGATGCTCCAAGGGCTAGGTCTGCAAGAAAATATAACCAGTGGCAGCAGCTATGAAGCCTTCCCACCCTGGCATCTCCAACTACTTGTTTCCCATCCTCGAGACCGAGGTATTGAATAGATTAATTTCTTTTTATTTGCATTTACAAAATATTTCTACTGATTGACACACCTGAATGAGATGAGAGCTTGTGTTTAGAAAACGGCAGAAAAGACCCAGATCAGATTCAGGCTGAAGAAGGAAAAGCTCCAGCAGTAAAGGTGGGACTTCAGCTGAAGGGGATGGCCTTGTCCTGGGTGTAGCTCTGCGCGCAGGGCTGTGTCTGAACAACCAGCACTGCAGGAAGGGCTAGTGCAGAAGGACAGTCGTGTGAACCTTCAAACATGACAGCAGAGCCAGTAAAGAGCAGGGCTGGAAAGAAAAAGGCTGTGAATATGTGTCACAGGAAGAACTCTGTGAAATTGCTTTCCAGGATACTCGCAGCTCCCCTGACTGCAAAAGGCCAAGATTGTTAACAAAGCACCGAAGCTTTCTAAACACCATCCAAACACGTTTCCAGGCCATCACGTGCACGAACTCCTGGCTAGGTAGCTGTCTGGAGAACCCTTTACCATCCCTCCCAAAAATCTCTCAGCCTGTCAAAGAGCAAAACAAAAACCAAGCTTGATCTGCGTGGCCAGACACTTGCCCATATGCAAGAGATCAGCAGAGTGAATTATCAACCAGCTTATAAGGGTTCAAACTGTCTCAAATGCTGTACAAGATGGTAAAAAATAAAGCCCATTCTCAGACAACTGCCAGAAATAGCAGATTCATTCAAAGAACAATCCCATTTCTGGCAGGTCACTTGCCACATTCAGGCCCAGCTGCATAGGTGTGGGACTGACCTGCCATGTGGTAACTACTGGATAATGAATCTGGAAGGGCTCGTGCTGCAGTGTGGTGCTGATGCAGGCTGAGGTGATCCCCTAGCCCTTCAAATCTCCTGGATACAAAATTCATATCCAGGAGTCACTGCGAGGCTTTGAGGAGGAATGCCAACTATGGGCCTCTGAATCTAAGAGGGAATTACCTTTTTGGGGAACTTTTCCTCCCTCCCGTCACCATCCGCCACTGAGGAACGTGGGTGGCCTGTGAGCCGCATTCAGCCCGGGAGGACAACTGGCAGCCAAGCTGGGAGCATCCTCTTGCTAAGAGGGTGCTCATCGGTCTGTAACAATGAGACGGGGGCCGCCAGGAAGGAAAAGAGGCTTCCAGACTTCTGAATTCAGGGGAATGACACACGCGCTGTTGCTCGCAGCGTGCCAGGAGGTGCCTGTGCTCCAGCGTGACAGGGTGCGAGGCTGGCTCCCTATGGCAGCAGATGGCGAGCCGGGCTCCGCTGCTCGGAGTGCCGCGCCGCGGTGGAAGAACCTGGTGGCTGCTTTCCCAGGCCTCTCGGCTTCTGCTCACAGCCACGGAGGCATCGATTTGCAAGGTGTCAGGCTGGCATATGGCATAAACGTGACAGCAGGTTGGTTTCAAGCACCATCTAGGGACAGAGGAGCAGGCTGCCTTGGGGACAGGCACACACCATACATGGGAATCATTACTGCCCTCATGCTCCCTTTGCTCCATGAGGGCTGGCCTTGTGCGCACTGAAATTCTGTCCCTGTCTGCCAGGGCACCTGCTGGCCTTCAGCACAACCAGCCATGAACAGCAGAGAAGGAGCACAGCGGAGCCAGCTGTGTCTCCTGGCAGGCTGAGGGTCTCGGTTCAGGCAGCCTTGGAACATTTCCAGGTCTCTCCTGGAGAGGGGAACTCTGAATTCGAGAGTAAGTTGCATGCTTGGAAAACAGTATGGCAGGCACAACTACCCTGATGCACACAATGTGCAGACCACAGCCCTGCACCCCAGGTGACTGACACAGCTCTGCTGATTGCTGGTGACCCACTGTTTTACCCCATTAGCACCAAAAATGCTGGTGCTCTACACACAACTCCTCCCCTCCAAATGTTCCCACCAGTGAGGCCTCTCCTGGCCCCAGGCACTGCTCTGCTGACAGAGGTCCGTGTCAGTCTGTGCTTTCTGCTAACAGGACCCTCTCCTGGGTTTTTCCTTTAGTCACAGTGAAAAGAGATGAAGCTGGAGCTCATGTGGCTGGGAAGATGGGAAGCAGCACAGAGCCAGCCCCTGCATCAGCTTTCCTAGGCAGAGGGGATAGCTAAGAGATGCAGCAGTTCCTCCCTACAGGCTGTGCCTGAAATAGCCAACACTGTCAGATCCCGATCTCCAGCCTTGATGGATTAGCCTCTCCGAGGCACAGGGCAATTTATTCATTAGTGACATTTACACCTTGTGGCTGCAGCATCCATTGTGGTTTGGCGACACGTGCTCAAGCTGTCAGTGCTGAGCTGGGAGGCAACGCTGCTGCTCTGACGATGAAGGGAGGCTTGGCCTAGGCACCTGAGCTCACAAATGCCTCCTGCCTGTCTCCTTAGCCAGAGCATGTTCACAGACTGCTTTTTTTTTCTCTCTCTCTCTCTCTCTAAATTCCCTCTGTCTCTTCCCTCAAATCACTGGTGCCCGAGCACACAGGCTCCTGCTCTGTCTTGTTTCACATCTCCCACAAAAGCCATCCCATCTGCAAAGCCGACAACAGGCGCTAACATACAGACTGTCCCCTCCTAGATCTTGCTGAACATTTGCACTGTTTTGCCCTCCTAAATTAGCTCCTCCATGAGCTGGATCTTGCTCAGCCCACAGCAATGCTTCCCTCCATCTCAGCAGAGCAGCACAGAGCCCGTGCTCAGCAAAGCCCCTGCAGACATGCTGCTTCCACCCTGACACCGTTCCCTGGCCCCACGCAGCTACAGGAGCCTACTTGCTCCTCTTCTTCCGGGAGAACACCAAGGAATTGGAGACGAGGAACAGCAAAATGCCAGGGGCTCCTGTTTTCTGGCTTCAGTCTGTTGAACTCCGCAAAGCTCTGAACGGCCTGCCCACAAGGGCTGAAGAAAGTGCTGTCCAGCTGCCCAGGAAAGCATAAGGGGATGCACAGAGACTACACTATTTCCCCTGGAGGCAAGCACAAGGCACGCAAGCGCACAAGCAGTGTTTGAAGGCGGCGTACACTCAAACTCGTAGGTTACCCTGAGGTCTGGCCACACACACGGCCAGAGGTAAATACACATTCACTGGTATTTCATGGTTGGCCAGCAGCACCCAGCAGAGAGGAGACTGAAATGGGACAAACTCACAGCCTAGGAGGTTGTCCTGAGCTTGGGAGTTCAGGGAAAGGGATGCTCTGGATAGCTCAAAAGAATGGCATTTTTCAAGTCAAATTTGTGGAAGGTGATAATAGCTGGAGAGCACTGGCCAGACAGCAGATCCAACAGCTCTCCCACTTCAGCCAGCCGAGCAGAGGATTAACTTGCTCTCAAACACTGCTTGCTACTTGCTTTTATCTCTGTTCTCTGCCATTCACAGCAGCAAATGTGATGCTTCACACCGTTTTCTCACTAAATAAATAAATAAATACATACAGAAATAAATAAATCAGGTCAGGAGCTTCCTTTCACAAGAAAGGAGGAATGCTCTGTCACCTTGTAAATCACCTACTACAAGAACAGATGGGCTCACCAAACCCAATCCACAAATGCACCAACCCCTGCATGGCCGCAGTCCTCTGGCCGTGCACAGGAGCTAGCAGAAACACCCCCCAATGCACCCGTGCTCGTTTGGATAGCAAGGGCAGGCCTCACTGCCTACGGGTGAAGATTTTAAACTTCACCCTCTGTTCCCAATCAGCACACTTCACTGCAAAACCACAGGCCTACTTCCAATTCTTCCTTCATCCTTTCTTTTCACCACCACTGCACCCTTCTAATAGAGCTGGCAGAAAGGGAGTGTTTAAATGCACAACTTCTTCATCAAAGACGAAAAATTTTGAGCAAGAACAGCGCGTGAAACATTTCCCTAGCATTATCTAAGTCCTTCCATCTCATCAGATACCATACTTCTCTTTTCCCCTCACCTCACCTCCTGGGGACAGGCACTCCTGGAAAGGCAGGTGCAACACACACAAACAACCTGCCCTCGCCAAACTTCTCATCGTACTGAACAGGAGGGAATGTTTGCTTTCCACCTTTCCACTGATCCTCTGCATCTGCTTCTGGAGACTCATATAGAATCACACTTGGGTTTTTCAAACACTTTCACCATTACTGGTTCATGGGCTGCCGTCCAAAGTCAGCATTCATGGCATGTCAGCTGACAGTGCTGCTAATGGACATTGGGACTGATACAAAACACTAAGTCATCTCAACACATTCTAGCTAGGCTGTTTCTTTCAATAATGTGAGTAGCTAAGATTGCAGAAGCAGCTTGCACTGATGGAGAGTGAAAGAACCTTGTGTGACTGAAGCTATTTTGCTCTACTAAGTCTGCTAAGTTATATCACAGTAGGTGATCCACCCATTCCCAAGTTCTAAGAACTGGGAATGGTTCAGGACAAGCACCCATTTCTCACAAGCTTAATTTCCCTAAATATCTGAAATATACAAAAACAAACAAACAAACAAGAAGTCCCAGCAAAAACAATCTCCATTGTAAGGAGGGGAGGAGCAAAACTCAACTAGCTTTCCAGGAACAGCTATGCTGATTCTCAGTGCTGGATGGACACGCTGCACATTGATACGAGCTCTGCAAACTTGTCAGTTTCTGGGAGTGTTGCATAGGTGGATGATGTACCTGTCAGTAAAGCCTGGCTATGAGTTGCTGGCAGAGGAGCTTGCTGAACAACATGAAGAGAACATCCCTCGCCCAAGTAAGATGGACAAGACAGGGAGGGAAGGAAGAGGGAAGTCCATGAAGCCACGGGTCTTGAAAATTCAGTTTTGTTCTTGGATCCTCTTTTCCTCTGCATGTGGAAAGGCTATACTCCTGGGAGAAAAGGCTTCTCTCCCAGTCCAGTAGAGGTCAACTTGCTTGTTAGCTTGCTTTTGAGGGAGTTGATGAGATCGCATCCTTGGGCATAACGTTCCCCTTCGTGGAGTTGCTGTGGTGGAGGCAGCAGAGCAGAGCAACTCAAACCACTGCTCAGAGATTCAGCAGATATTCAACATTCCTTCATGTTGGTCAAATCCCAGCATGAGCCCCATGCATCAAAACAGCACTAGAATGGATCAATTTGTCTGGATTCAGGGGCAGATCATTCTGATGAAATGCTGGGCCATGCTCACAACGGTGTAGTTCCACTGGCTTCAGTAAAATTACACTAGGGACGAACATAGCCCATTAATTTCTACTTGAAATGTGACCAAACCCATTTCCCTTTTACCAAAATGCCTTTGGGGAAAACGGTGTTGGGTAGTCTCAGCCCCAGGTTCTAGGAAACTGCTCTAGGTCCCCAAGTATATCTGTCTCAGGCGAGATTCTAGGTCTGCATGCATTACAGGAGATAGTATTACCAAACACAGCTAACACTTAGAGCATGTCCTATTTATGAGATAATATGGATCCATAATACGCATGCAGACCCATATTCATGCAGACCTTATCCTCACCACTGAATATAAATGCAACATAATTAGAAGGACATACCATAAACTGACATAACTGTTTAGTTGCACAGTCTCTGTGTGGTATAGTGATATTCAGACACACACCCTACAGCTACCGCAGCAGCGCAGGAGTACAGTTCAGCAAGGCTGTACCCGGCTGTAAGCAAGGCAGCATCTTGGTGACACTTAGACCATAGTTACTAAAATCATAACTGGAAAGGCTAGGGGAGAACTTCGAAGGTATTATTCCTCACAAGCAATGTTTAACTGACATCAGATGCCACGTAACCTTCTTAAACTTCCATTTACTAAACCTCTTGCAGTCCCCTCCTCATGGGCATTCACCAGAGGTATTAAAGAGCTTTGGAGCCTCTTCAGTATGAGTAGGAAAAGACTGCATAGGAAGAACAGGAATGGATTGGTTCTCTAATCTGTGCATTTCATAGGACAAGGAAAGGTGGGAGGATGTTTCTTTGAAGTCAGGCAAATAGCAGCTTCCCCATCACTCATCCTGAGTATTTGCCTTGTATATGATTCTGGAAGACTAATTAACTGAGGTTTCTTCTCCCTGTCCTACCAAATGTCCCTACAGTTATTCAGCCTGAAAGCCTTCTCTGAAATCTCCTTCTGGAGTGTAGTTTGTGAGACATTTAGTTTGACTTAAAAGGTAACAGCAGGCTGGTTGGTTTCACTGCCTGCTTCCACACTAGCAAAGTACGTGGCACTAACTGGGAAGCTTTCAGTGTGTGTTGAAAGATGGATAAATTGGAGGTGATGTGCATTTGAGTGAGCACCAACTAATTCAGAGTCCCTCACAGACTCACACTCTCGATCACGATGCTAGAGAGCTTTTAACTATCTGGCAAGTATATTGGCAACAAGAAGAAAGAGCAAGTGGCCAAATCGTATTGTCTACCCTTACTGCAGTGGGCAATAGCTCTCTTCTAGGGTTATATTAGCGACCTGAAGCACCAGGAAGAGGAGCTGGCAGCATTCCCACCTCACTTGTCCTGGTATGTGAGGAAACTCTCTAACAAGTGCAATGCCAATGCTGACTCAGCAATGAGTGAGTGATGAATAGGAAAAACAAAGTCCTCTGAAGGTGGAGAACTTTTAGTTATTGCCTCCTGATACTGACAAGCACCCAGATTTCACCCTCCCAGAGCATGCTGCAGGCTGCTTTCCTTCAACGAATGGCAGCAGCTAAACATCCTTTAGTCACTTGGAAAACAACCTCTGCACCAGAAAAGAGGACACTGGCATCTGTTTGCCATGACAGACCAGGTCACTGCTTGCATCTTTGGCCCGGTCTCTCTCACTCAGGCCAGGATAAGAATAGGAGGGATATACTCTATACTCAGAAAGAACTTCTGCACCATCAAATAAGCCAAGGTGTCCAGTAAGATCTGGGAAAAGATCTTGCTGGGACTGCTAAAGGGCGGGATGTTGAATCCAGGCACACCTGCTTGTGTTGGTAAGGCCATGGGGAAGAGGAGCAGGGCCAATTACACTCATTAGCCAATGGAGGAGAAGTAATGTGATTAAGATACAGCAGGTGGAAACCAGGTGACAAAGGATCAGGCTACCATGAGAGGAGCAGACTGAGCCACCAAATGAGCTGCCAAAGGAATCATCACCAGTGACACAGAGACGGCACAGAGCAGGCAGGAGTCCACGGGAAGAGCAGACGCCTGACTATGCTGCCCAGCCCAGCACTGTGCAGGGGGACCAGGCAATGTGCTGGGGGCAGATGGGACCATTTCACCATGCTGAGACTGTGCCCCAGAATGTCCCAGGACAGGACATCTTTAGGAAGCTGTGCCCATAACCTGAGCCACAAGGAAAATTAGTCTCCCTGTGCTCAGCGTGCTAGGGTCCCTTGCTAACACTTACTAGGAAGCCTATCCTTGCACACCCGTTCTGCCAGCTGCTTCCCGTGCTGGCAGTGGGAAGGGAGCGCCCAGTTGTCAGTCATAAATTTCCCTGTCTGGCTGGACCAGCTGCCCTCCCATTGCAAGCAGGAGGCAGGAAAGCACAGCCCCAGGTTCAGTCTGTGCTTCAAGCACTTCTCTGCCAGGCCATGAGGCAGCCCCTGCCCTTGCTTCCCAGCTCTGTTCCCCTCCATGCCCAAGCGCCTTCTTCCTTCCTGAGCAGGGCAGTCTCCAGCCTCGAGAGAGCAAGCAGGCTAGAAAGCTACTCCCAATATACACTGCTTGCAAAGCAGCTGCCTGATTTCTTCCCAACTCAAGAAGGGGGAGGGATGTCAAGACAGGAGGATACAGCCCTGCTCATACCCCTCCTACAGTGTCTGGAGCAAAATGGATTGCTGCAAGGACAGAGGCACTTGTCCTCTTTCCTAGAGAGCCTAGGGCAGTTTGCTCCTGTCTGTGCATGCTGGCTGCACTATTCCTCTCATCTGCCTGTAAAAATCAGAGCTCCGTAGGCCTAGAGCCACGAAGGGGCTGTGGTGGGTGCCAGACAGCCCTGAGCACTGTCCTGTTAGCCCACATCAAAGCCACCACTTTGTGACATGCCAGCACTATCTTGTCCGCTCTTAGTGCTTCTTCCCTCAGCCCTGAGGGGCAGCTTTTTGAGAATGGGGTGAGAATTGCCCTTTGGCTTTACAGCAGGGCTAACCTCAGGACAACTTGCAAGCATTTGGGGACATAGAAATAGGCTGCTCTGACAGCTGAATAAGGGGAGACCTTCCTCTCACAATACAGGCACTGCCAAACAGACCTGGGGTCATGTTTTTTGGTCACCTCAGCTGGCTGATATTTGGTGACCTGGGCGCAGCTCCACCAGGTGCTGTGCGGTAGGAAGGCCGAGAATATGAGGAACATATCTCGAAGAAACCCTGGAATGCAGCAGGGAGCACTCTCAAGAGAGATGCCATTTCTCTTCAGGGTGCTGTGCACCTGGCAGTGTCTGTGGAACAAGAACTACGTCAAGAACTACGTCTGGGACCTGGCTGCAGCTGGCACTTTATACTTGGGGCAGGTGTCCAGTAGCAGGAAGAGACTGCATGAATCCCACTGGCCTGAGTGCTGCTATGCCTCAAAGGTACTTCCTTCTACCTGGATAGACCACCTCCAGAATAAATTTTGTGGGTGAAAATGAGGCCATAGGAACTAAATTGAGGCCACTTCAAAAAGCAGCCCAGGAGGAAAACAAACAAACAAACAAACAAAAACAACGGCCAAGGTGCCTGAGAGCAGAATTCCGCTGCAGGTAGGTGCTAAAGGATGGGGGCGCATAAACCCTATTCATCTGTCCCTGTTCTGAGGACTTTGTTTGCCCTACGGTGCTAAAAGACCTGCCAAATCTGGCCATCTGTCCAAAGCGCACTGGAGGCTAGGGATAGAAAGACAAGGCACCGTAGCCTAATTTAAGCAATGTGTGAGAGACTTCAAAGAGCGTATGATGAGAAGGACAAGCGGAACACATTCCCCGCTAATGGCCCACTGCAACTCCACTGACTGAACGTCTCCTCATTCACCATGACATACAAGCATGTATCATCCCCTGAGAGAGTCACGAGGAAGCTCAGCACTGGCCTTGGCTTATGTGAGAGGCCCTTGGAGAGATGAGAATAAGGGCACAGCAAGCCAAATGCAATCACTAAGCAAAAAAATTCTAGTGCAGCCAACAGAGCTGTATCCTCTTTTACCCAGTCTGAATTTGTGCCAGTAACAATGAGAACAAAGAGAGAATGATGTGCCCACACTGGGCATCTTATGCTTCCCTGTTCTCAAAAGAGCCCTCTTATTTAAACCAGCATATAGGTCTGGTAGGGAGTATGGACATAATCATAACAAAACAGACTGAGTTTTGAAGGGACTTTTCAGTTCAAAACGCAACTCTTCGGAGTTCAGCACTTGAGATCCAGGAGGACAAACCGACCTGAAAAGGCAAGAAAACACTGACTAGGACATGCCAGGGCATGAAGATCAGGAGAACAAACCTCTCCGGGGGCAAAGTCACACACAGCCTTACAATTCCTAGACCTGCCAGCAAGGCAGGGCTATTTTATCCTCCAAAACAGATGTGATGTTTGTTACAGAAGGACCCTGCAATGGGTCTAATTCTAAAACCAGTCCACTAGAGAAACTTCAAAAAAGGACTGATGTGATGGAACATGACATTTGCACCCTCCACAAGACCTGGTAAGTAAAGCATTACAGCAGCATGACCACAGAAACAGACCTTTTATTTAAAACACTGGCAGGAGGAAGCCTCGCTAGTGAGACACAGTGTCTCACTGTTTAGTGTTATATCTCGCCCTTCTGAGATGTATTTGGAGAAAGACACCAAGCTCAAATGACCAGGTGTTAATGGACTTGCTCTTTCGACCCAAGAATTATTGCTTTCAGCAGCATTTTGGCTCTGGGGATGAGGGAAGAGTGGTGAGGTTGAGGAACGGTGCTGTCTAGAAAAATCACTGGCTGAGTTGGTATCCACACCCTCAAAGAGCTGACTGAAAAGGAGACAGCTTTTCTGCGAACAGGGACACAAGAGATCTGGGCATGCGTTGATGGAAAAGGAAAAGCAGGGTGTCTGTGCGCTGCAGACACGGATGCAAATTCAGCAGCCTGAATGCTCCTTACTCGGTGTAACCGAGATTCTTTCTAGATGGTTGAGTGTGGTAGCACAGAACTCAGAGCAGACCAACTTGCCCGGACAAGAGCAAGGCAGACAAAGCCAGGGGCCAGTAGGCTATTAGGAGGAGAATTTGACTCACTCTTGACCTGACACCTGTCTGGAAAAAGCTCTGCGTGCAAACTGTTTTTAAGCAGGTTCCCTCCTAATGTGTCCCCAGCGTCACTCTTCATAGCATCCCTCGGGGAAGATGCCTCACTGTCTCCTGACTGGAAGTTCTGTGCCCATGGCAGAGCCTTGGAAAGTGGGGATCATTTTGATCCTTATTCCACTAGCCTGGGCAATATGCACCATATGCTTTAAAATGTCTTTGCTTATCTTCCTCCCCGCCCCTCAGAGCTCCCTGCCAAAACCAGGCTGCCAAAACTCTGAAGATCAAAGTCTGCAGCCAGGAACCAACCTGATTTCATGCAAAATTTAATTTGAAAACATGCACCAACCTGCTGGTCTCTTTTCAATAGTGAACTACAGCTGAACCTACCACAGCCTTCCCTGATGCTTGTCTGAACCAATTAGGACTCAGCTCCAGGGCAGGAAGGGATTTCAGCCAATTCACACACTGTATTTTGCCATGATACCTGTCCAGTGTCATCCTTTCCTCCCTTTCCCAGTTCTCCAGGAACCTCCTGTTTTCTCTTTCAGCTGAACCCTCCTCCAGCAAGCAGATCTGTGATGCTTGCTGCAGGTCTCCTCAACTCCACCTCAGTTTGCCACATTCATTCCTTCCCCACTGCCTGCCTGCTATAATCCCAAACAGAAAGTCCTTTACCTAGGGTATGCTGATTCTCAGAGCTGGTGTGCTGAAGCTTCCTAAGGAGCCAAGCCCGGGATCCTCTGGAGGTGATGTAATTCCCAACAATAAGAGCAGTATAACAGTCGGAGCATGGTCAAAAAAAAAAAATGGAGCGGGTAGGGAATGGTGGAGGGGAGGGGAAGAGCTGGATTTGTGGTTTTCTGCCTTTTCTCTAACCTGCCAGTCTGCTCCACGTGCCTGGAGGTCCCAGACTTTTAGGCGCGAGCAGTTAAACACTGCTCCCAAAGGGAACAAGCTGCTGGGCCCATTCCCCTCCATCGTGCAAGGGGTCTCACTCCGGCGTGGTAGCAGGGGTGCTCGCAGGTACAGCAGGGTACTTTCTGGTGGCTGCCGTTTCCTCGGAGCACAAGCTAGCATGGAGACAGAGCTAGGAGGCAAAGCACTCCCTTCCCTGCATCAGGTCTGTCTTTTCATTCCCCTCCTTGAATTTGATGCCATGACTTATGGTTTCTGGAGGGTGGTTTTTTTTGTTTTGTTTTGTTTTGTTTTGTTTTTGTATGTTGTGGATGATCTGGAGTTCTGTGCCATGCCACGGACAGCACTGTCATTCATCCCTCCATGAGGTCAGAGCCACTGTGGGGGCAACTTTTGCTGACCGCCAGAGTGAGAGGCTGGGTCCACTCCACCCTGCCTCATCCTCCTAGGCCATTTCCTTCCCCTGCACTATTCTCCTCACATCCACACCGGCCCAGGCCAGGCAATCCCCAAGGAGATCTCACTGCCCTCTGTTCTCACAGTGAGGTCTCCACACAGGATCCATTGCGATGGAGGTGACGGTGGTCATGGTTCAGGCAGCCTTCGTTGCGGTGAACGATGAGGATGGGGAAGTAGAGGGCGTCCTGGTAAGGAGGGGGATCTTCCTCCTCCACAGTGACCTGGCTGGAGAGGCGGGTCTGCTCCGTGGGGCAGCTCTGCTCGTTCAGGCTCCCACTCCGGCTCTGCCAGAGGCAGCTGCGCCGG